TCTATCTATCTATCTATCTTTATATGTATATATATATATATAGGGGGTGTATGTGCAAATAATAAGTGTGTGTGTGTGTGTAGCGGACATTGGAACGAATAGACGTATGTATGTATGTGTATGTATGTGTATGTATGTGTATGTATGTGTATGTATGTGTATGTGTATGTATGTGTATGTATATGTATGTACGTATGTAAGTAAGTATGTATGTATGTATGTATGTATGTATGTATGTATGTGTGTATGTACGGATGTATGCATGTATGTATGTACGTATGTATGTATGTCTGTACGTGATCGATAGGTAGATAGAGAGAGACAGGAAGCTAGATAGATAGGTACACACAGATACACCGACACTGCCATATACCGACGGACATACTTGCTAGCCTGGTATTACCTCGAATATCACCCTATTAGTGTGCCATCAAATCAGTCTAGCATATTTCAGTGGATCAGGGTGTTGATGCAAAGGCTTGTAGGCAAAGGGCTCCCAGACATTCCAAGCCCAGGACGTGGGAACCCTTGCGTAAAGCCTGCAAAGCCCTACAAGACATCCCACACCCGCCAAACCCTGCACTCTAAACCCCAAACCCTCTTCTGCAAAAGGCCTGAAATACCCGAAACGGCGAGGCCGAGAAACTTAAACCCATGGCCTCGCACCGTGGCCGTGGAGACTGCCTCTCCTGGGCCAAGGGCCGAGGAGATGGCGTCCTGCGTGCGGCGGAGTCTTTGAGTTTCCGCTGGCTCTCGGTATGACTGTCGAATGAAGATCTTTATACCACTCCGTAGCAAGCATAACAGAAAACATCTTCGAGTACATAATATATATATATATATGTGTGTATAGGCTTAAACATGTAAATATAGGTATGTGAGTATGTATGAATGTATGCATACATCGTATGTATGCATACATGCATGTAGGTACGTACGGCATGTACAAAGATATGCTGCATGTCATGCCTGCATGCTGCTTTCTGGCTCCATCGTTCGAGGAGGTGAGAGCTTTCGGGATTTGGCATGCGAGATCGGATTTCGACTTTAGAAGGGAGTAGGGTTTAGGGCAAATGACCAGTAGGGTTTAGGGCAAATGACCCACCTCTTTTGAGGACTTATATAAAGAAAACATAATAAGGAACCCTAAAAGGTAGGTTCTTTTGGGTTCAGGTAGGGCTTAACCTTAAACAGGATGTGGGTCTTGTGGGTAAAGGCTCTCCAATTTTTGTGGATCCGAGGTCTTGGATCTGAGAGTCTTTGGTCCAGGGCTGGCAGTATATGGGTGCTCCCATAGATTTCTAGGGTTTTCGGTGCCAGGGGTACTTTCGGAGCACTTCCTGGTTATACTTCACGATGCGTGCAGAAGAGCTTCATTGATCCAGGCTGTATACCCATAGGCCCCACATAGTAGTTCCTTTTTGGGGATTACCTTACAGGATTCTTGATATACTATGGGGCCTATGGGAAATCCCTTTGAGTACGGGGCTCTTGAGGATCGCTCCGCACTGCGTGCGCAGCATGCCAGGATCGGGGCCGGGAGCTAAATGAGGCGTTTAGGGTTTAGGGTTTAGGGTTTAGGGTTTTAAGGACGAAATCAACCCCAAAAGGTTTTCAGGTTCATATACCATATAGGGATTCATAGTGTAACGGTATAGGGCCCCTACTTATAAGGGTCATTTGGTCCCCAAGGTTTGGGACAGGGAATTCCAAGAAAGACCTCGGCTATGAGGAGACGAGCATCCCTGCTGCCCCTAAACCCTAAACCCTAAACCCCAAACCCTAAACCCTAAACCACTCCATCGTCGCGCGCCTGGCTCTTGCTGTGGTAGCCCGCAGAGTCCTGAGCGTAGGGTTTGGGCAGTATGAGCATGATTTACATTTACCTAAACCCCCCATCTGCCCTCTAATATACCCTAAATACCCACTATTAAGGACCATAAGGATCTGCCCTCTAATATACCCTAAATACCCACTATTACGGACCATAAGGGCTCTATTAAAGGGTCACGCAGTGTCGGGTCCGAAGAACATGCAGACACTGCTGCTTGCAACTTCGATCACTCAGAAAATGTCCTTCCTCCCCTAAACCCTAAACCCTAAACCCTAAACCCTAAACCCTAGACCCTAAACCCTAAACCCTAAACCCTAAACCCTAAACCCTGAACCCTAGACCCTAGACCCTAAATGGACCCTGATCCCCCGCGTTCGCGCCCCAAAAGTTTCAACCCCAAGGCTCCTCCGCTCGGTCCTGGAAGCCAAGGGAAGGCTGATGGAGCCTGGGCCAAGTCGCCAAAGTAATGTCGGGGCCTTACTTAGGGTTTAGGGTCCTGAATAATTAGAAGATGCATTTTTTTTTGGGGGGGTTCCTTGTTATAAGTATAGTATAATCGACCCCAAACCCTATTCT